ATTGATGCTTCATCTCTTAACGTTTCTTACATGTTTTCCATTTCTTTCCTCTACATCCTGAGAGATGTTTAAAAACCTTTTCTGCCGATACATTCTTTTGATTAACTTTTTCATTTGGGCAATCAAATTTGCAATTTCCAAATTATATTATAATTTATAATTTTCAATTACAAAAGACATTGTGATGCACTGTCTTCCTAGAAGCCTCTGCTGGTTTCATGGTGTATTATCTTATTTGTTTCTGAAACCATTTACATCAGATTGGGACTTGAACCCAGCCAAAACCCAGTTTGGGACTTGAATCCACAATTTTTTAATTAGAACCACTCACCCAGTGTCTGGGCTTACTGAGGGTCAGGTTCTTTGTGTCTCAGTGCAGAAGGAATTCAGCGAGAGGCAAAGTGATAGCAAGAAGTAGATTTATTAATACAGACGGTTTTAAGAGATGCAAGTGGGCAGGTGAGGGAGCTCTGCCCCGAGGATTGAGTGGGAGACAATTTCTAATGAAAAGGGGGGAGGGGAGAAGACCGCCTTCTTCAGGTAGATGGAGATGCAGATGTTAGGCATACATATTAGGCAGAAAAGTGTCTGACCCTATGAGGTCAAATAGGATTATCTTGTTAGTAGAAGAATGGTGACATTTCTTCCCTCTAGTAGCCTGGGGCATATCTTATGGGTTTGCTTATGGTTTTATAATTAAGCAAGCTTGCGTCATTGAATAATGTTCAATAGCTTTCTTGCCGCTGCTGCTGCCGCTAAATCACTTCAGTCGTGTCCGACTCTGTGCGACCCCATAGACGGCAGCCCACCAGGCTCCTCTGTCCCTGGGATTCTCCAGGCAAGAACACTGGAGTGGGTTGCCATTTCCTTCTCCCAGTAGCTTTCTTGAGCTATCGTTAACTTACAATGCCCTCCCAAAATTTCCTAGGGTTTCTTCTGTATAGTCCCCTGTTGGGACTTCTACAACTACTTGTTTAACTATCCAATTCTATCCCTATCATTTCCTCCAGGGTTAGTTGTTTTATCTCTTCATCTTAATCCTTTTTTGGTGCCCCTGATAATCAGTAAGAGGTGGCACATGTGGTTCTACCTGGTAGCTGTGTCTAGCTCCCCAGTGGGCCTTTCCCTGGACAGGTTGCAAGCTCTATGTGCAGGTGCGTTAATTGATTAAAATGCGTCACTTAGATCTGAGAGGTTGGTTCCCCTCCCCACCCCACCCCAGGTGACATTTGGCAATGCCTGCAGACATCTCTTCACAACTAGAGTTGCTGCAAAATATTCCACAGTGTACAGGAACATGAAATGTTATCTGACCCAGGGACTTCCCTGGTGATCCAATGGCTAAGACTCCTCGCTCCCAATGCAGTGGACTCGCCTTCGATCCCTGGTCAGGCAACTAGATCCCCCATGACATGTGGTGTGGCCAAAAAAAAAAAAGATAGGGAATCAAAATATCTAAGATGCTCACAGGAGACTGAGTAGTGTCCTTTGATTAACATATGCAGATCTTGGTTTGGGGGAAAGCAGTTTCTGAAGAATGCTGGAAGTGTATAGAAGCCTGCTAGGACAGACGGGTCCTTCCAGAAGTTTAGCTGTGAAGATTTGACCTTGGTTATAGAGGAAATTGGCTGTTTGTTTGTTTTTGGTGATATTGTGAATGGTATTAATCTGACAAGCACATGCCTGCTGTGAAACATCTAGAAATGCTGCATAAAATCAAGCAAACATCCTTTACAAAGCACAGCTGAGGTTCAAGAAACTAAGGGGAATCCCCGGAGCCACACACAAAGAGGAAATCGAAAACCAAAGGTGGGGGAGCTCATGGACAGTTGGCAAAAAGAAGGAGTTTGGGTTTTACCTCCACCTATATTTTGGAGAAGAAGATTTACCTGGGGCATTGAAAACTGAGACTCTAATATTCAGCTCAGTCCCTTAAAGGGTGACACTCTCAGTGAAAAATGCAGACTAGAAAAAAAAAAAAAAACCCAGGGAGTACAAAAGAACCTGATGGGTCACACCCTGAGAACTGGTGGCAATGGAAAGGCTCCCCTGAGAGTTCATAAGCAAAGATGTGCCTTCATTTAAATTTGGGGTTCAAATTTATATGATTTATATAGTCTTGGAAGCCCAAATAAAAACAAATAATGTGGTCCCGGCTTGGTGATTCCCCTGAAGCATCCTTGGCTGGAGCAAACACAGAAGCTCTCTAAAGAGACACCCTGGAGCTGGTCACATGGATTTCCATGGATAAGGCCCTGCTGGAGCTGAGTTCAGAGCCCCAACTTAGAAAACATAAGAGGAAGCCAGCTGTCATGAATGAGAGTGAGCAGACACTCTAGAACTTGACTTAAGACTGCAGAGTTTTTAGGTAAAGGACCATTCAGGAAGTATGCTTTATTTTTATGGTTTTGTTCATTTGTTTTTAATTCTTGGCCATGTAGCATGTGGGATCTTAGTTCCCTGACTAGGAATCGAACCCGCATCCCTTGCACTGGAAGCACAGAGTCTTAACCACTGGATCACCAGGGAAGTCCTGAAGAAGTACATTTTATTTTTTATTTTTTTTAAGAAGTACATTTTAAATGCTGAAAGGCGTAAAGGAAGGACTCAGCATGAGAAAATAACAAAACAGTGTTAAAAATGAAGAGAGGTTCAAAATAAAGAGGAGAAAAGACTTCCCTGGTGGTCCAATGGTTAAGACTTCAGGTTTCAAAAAAAAAAAAAGACTTCAGGTTTCCATTGCAGGGGACATGAGGTTTATCCCTGGTTGGGGAACAAGGATCCCATGTGCCATGGAGCACAGCCAAAAAAAAGGGAAAAAGAGAAAGAGTAAAATGAGTGCATCTATTAATCCATCTATTTATACAGTCATTCCCCTTTCCCTTTCTTTGGGCTTCTGCTATATTTTAGATCCTGTTCTGGGTCTGGGGACATAAAGGAGATTTTGGGGACAGCAAGTTGGACTCTGCCTCAGGGAGATGACATTCATCCACATGTGAGTGTATGAGACCATCTTTCATTTTATTGTATCCTTAGACGTCACAGCTAGGAAAGCTCCAATAGAGCATTGGTTTAACTTTCAACTCTCTCTGTATCATGAGAAAGAATGTGAGGCCCAGTAATAAAAAAATTACTTTTCTCCAAGTGAGTGGTTGATAGAACCAGATCGGAGCACTGGGGCCTTGTCCGTCCGCTGAGCCCTTGGTGCACAGGCATCTAAGCTTTGAGCTCTCCTTTCCCTGGGACCGTTCACACCCCGTGGGCGGAGTCCCCACAACAGAGTCTGGTTAGCTGATGGTGACAAGGAGAAGTAACACTGTTAGTCAACTGTGAGTGACAGAGATGGGACTGATCTTGTATCACTAGTGTCTTCCGGTCTTATCTCACCTCCCTCCACCCCCAGCTGCTAGAGAGACCCAGAGCTCCCTGAGGGCGGGGTCAGGTCTGATTCCTCCACCCCCTGGGCCAGGCTGGGAGGAACACAGAGGGGATGAGTGAGAGGTGGGAGAAGAGGGGAGGGTCCCTCAGCCTCGGGTGGGAGGGGAGGTGGGTGTGTTGGTTCCCTGACTGCTGCTCCAACTTCTGACATCCAAGCAATGAGAAGGGAGGCTCCCGGGCCCTCCTGGCAAGAAGAGCAGAGTGTTGGCCTCTACCCCCCAGCATTTCTTGGGTGTGGATGAACTTGGGGGAGGGACTCCTGGACGGCATTAAGTCGCACAGGATGGCTGCTCCCAGGGCAGGTCATCTGGGGGCAGGTCTCAGGATGGGCTAGAGTCTCTGCCACTTTTCTAACACTGCTGACGGTGCTTCCCTGGTGGTTCAGCAGTAAAGGACCCACCTGCCAACGCAGGATTGATCCCTGGGTCGATCCCCCTGGAGAAGGAAATGGCAAGAGTTTTCCAGTACTCTTACCTGGGAAATCCCATGGACAGAGGGCTACAGTCCATCGGGTCACCAAGAGTCGGATAGGATTTATCAACTCAACAACAACACTGTTGATCCTTTTAACAAAAAAAGGGCAAATCTCTAGGTCAATGCCTCCAGCAGAAAATCAAGTCTACTTAGAACTTGATATCATTGTTTACATTGTATTTATTTCCATGTTTAACCTTCTATTTCTGGCCAGTGGTACTTGGTTTTCCATTTACAGAAATGATACACAACAGATTCCTTGTAAAATAAATTTATTAAGCAAACAGTAAACCATGTGTAAAGAAAAATATAAAGTACAGGTGGTCAACTGATACGGCAGAAATCCTAACATTCAGGACTGAGGTTTGAGAAGTCAGATCCCAGGGAATGGAAATTCCTTTGTCTGCCCCCACCCCACCCCCAACTCCTGGCTCCACGCCCAAAGGGGAGGTCAGCTGATACAGATATGGGGGCTCCATTTTTGTGGGGTGGAGCATTATAAGTAAGCCTGTCTTGGGGCAGCTCTGGCTAGCGAACTGGGAGGAAAGATGGCCGGGGACGCGGTTTTAGGAGCTGCCTTGCTCCAAGAGAGTGTTCCTTCTGCATTGGATCAAACTCAGATCTCCGTGGATCAGGCCTCCCCCCATGTGGAGGGGTAAGATCCAGAGGGCTAAGATGAGATGGCCTCATGAGGACTTGCTGCCTCCTGGCTTTTTTTCAGGCTGTATAGGTCCCACTGCAGGCAAGAGAGGGCCTCCTGCCACCAGCAGGGGGGCAAAGCCACAGTTTGTATCTAATAAGATGTTCTGTTGGATCTTGACCTCTCTGTATGTGTTTTTCTGGTGGGATGATGGGGGCCTGGGAAGCTGAATTCCTGTCTCTCCTGCTAGTGGCTGACACCGTCATCACCACAGTCTGTTCTTCGGCATCTATGGGAGCCTTCACTCCAGTGTTGGCATCTCAGGTACACGCAGAAGAGAGGTGGAAGCCGCTGTGTTGATGCTATTTCCTTCCTGTCTGTTGCCTTGAGTTCTTACCGAAGTGTGATCTTGGCAGCTTCTGACTCAGTGTTAGCCACTCAGTTGTGTCTAACCCTTGGCAACCACATAGACTGTAGCTCGCCAGGCTTTTCTGTCCATGGGATTTCCCAGACAAGGATGCTGGAGTCGGTTGTCATCTCCTTCTGCAGGGGTTCTTCCCGACCCAGGGATCGAACCTGGGTCTCCCACATCACAGGCAGATTTTTTTACTGTCTGAGTCACCAGAGACAGCCCCAAATCCAGTTCTCTGCGCCACAGCCCCCAGCAGCTAAGCAAAGACACCACTGAGTTCCTGCCAAAGCACAGGCTCTGTCCACATCCAGGCCTCCCAGGCCCAGATCCAGGGGAACCGAAATCCACAAGTAAAAGGCCTGGGACGGGCATTCCTCAAGGAGATCTCAGGTGTCAGCTCAAGTTCTTGGGAGCCTCAGGATCTTAAGATCCCTCTGAGGTTGGGCCACCCCCCAGGGTCTCTGGAAGGCCAGTCCTCCAGGCAGTCCCTGGGGATTCAGAAACCCACGCTGCTTCGGCCTTCACGCCTCCAGAATGCTGAGATCTGCTCCAGGGTGACCCGAGGCTGCAGGCCCCACTCAAGATCGGGGCTTCCTGGCCGCACCCTCCGGGCCTGGGGGCTCCCAGGATATGCGCTGGCCTCTGGCCTCTGTTCAGGCTCAGCCCAGCTCACCAGGCCTGGGGCCTGGGGCCTCTCCTCCCAGACCTGGGGCCCCCAGAAAGTGCTCTGGGTTGGGGCATTGGGTGGGGCCTGGGGGACCGGGCTGCTGGGGGGGGAGCGTGGGGTTGAGGGAGCGGGTGGGGCTGTCGCTCGTGCCTCCAAGGTGTCCCCCTGGGCGGGCAGGTCTGGGGCCCCGTCCGTCAGCAGGGGGACCTCTGAGCCATACCAGTCCTCAGAGCGCTCTCGGGGCGTGCCTCTGGGCTCGATCCACAGCTCTCCTCCGGGGCGCCACACGAGGGTGGGTGCCCGGATGCTGGGGTCCGGCTGGAGGGAGCGGCGAAACAGGCGTTCGGCCAACACGGCTGTGGCCAGGAGGAAGACGGCGGCCAGAGCGGCCAGGGCCACCATGATGGGGATGCAGGGTCCGCAGGGCAGCGGGACCCATGAGGAGGCCTCCGTCTGCCCCGAGGGCGGCGCTGGGGTTGGAGGCATCTGAGGAGACAGCGGTCAGGAGAGGAAGCGCCTGAGACAAGGTTGATACCACCAGGAGAGACAGAGGGGGGCCTCAGGGGTGTGACCACGGGGAGGAGAGAGACAGAGGGGAGCCGGGCTCCCAGACATCTGGGTGAGAAACAGACCCACGCAGAAAGAGGAGCCCGGAGTCCCAGAAAGGGCGGGAAGGAGCCAGATGACCAGAGAGACAGGGCCCACCTGGGTCTGCAGCTAGGCCCTTCCTCGAAGCTGTATTTTCCTCCCAGACTCCAGGGTGCCTCAGATAAAACTCAAAGGGCCCTGAGGGCTCCTCTCCTCCGGTCTCAGCCCCCCGCAGGTCTTGCCTGGAAGAGGAAGTGCGGGGTGAGGAAGTCAGACCTATCCCAGCCCTGCCCGGGTGTGTGGGCCCGGCCGGCACCCTGGGTGCTCCTTGGCCTTCACAACTCTGCTTGGAGCTGGTCTTGCTCTTTGCAGGCTCCCCTGGGTTTGCCACCTCTACCCCCGTCCCCGCCTCTCCGGCTTTGCCCAGTCTTGCCCGACCCCCGTCTTGTTTGTCTCTGCTCACCTCCTGGCGGACCCTCCGGTCCCCCACCTTCAGGGGCCTCCTGCGCTCCTCACCTCAGGCAGTGGGTCCGGGGCTTCTGACTCTCCGTCGGAGCCGCTCTTCCCTGTGTGAGCAGAGGGTGCTGGACAGTTGCCTCACATGAGGGCGGAAGGGAGGGCACCACCTGTTGCTGGGCAACTGTGCCCTGGATCCCCCAGCCCCTGCCCGCGTTTCCCAGGCAACCTGCGGGGGGATGTGGTCACTGCGGCGGGGAGGCGTTTCCTGGCAAGGGGTGGGGCCGGAATGGGCAGTAGCTCTGCCGAACTCCGTGTCACCCCATAGCCAGCCCCCAGACCTCAGAACACGTATGCGGAAGCCAAGAAAGAGACCCAGAGCCCATCCTGACCACCAAGGTGGCCCCTTCTACTTGCTCCCAGGTGGCTGCGGGGGCCCTGCGCCGCCCACTGGGCCCTCCCCCAGTCCCGCTTTTGCCATCTGCCCCCACCCCGTCCTGCTTGCCCCACCTTCTCCGTGTTTTTCATGAGCATGTATCTCCTTTTCTTCAGACCATTTAGCCCCAATTTCCGTTGGAAAATAGCTATGAGGTGAGGCTCAGGTAGCAAAAATGCCAGGCTTCTGGGAAGGATCCAGGTTAAAAAATGTGCTCAGGCCTGTCTCCAAAATCACTGTGGATGGTGACTGCAGCCATGAAATAAAAAGACGCTTGCCAAAAAAAAAAAAAAAAAGACGTTTGCTTCTATGACAAACCTAGATAGCATATTAAAAAGCAGAGACGTCATTTTGCTGACAAATGTCCGTATATGCAAAACTATGTTTTTTCCAGTAGTCAGGTAGGGATATGAGACCATAGTGCATAAAGAAGGCTGACTGCCAAAGAACTGATGCTTTCAAACTATGGTCCTGGAGAAGACTCTTGAGAGTCCCTTGGCCTGCAAGGAGATCGAGCCAGTCAATCCTAAAGGAAATCAGCCCTGAATATTCACTGAAGGACTGATGCTGAAGCTGAAGCTCCAGTACTTTGGCCACCTGATGCGAAGAGCTGACTCACTGGGAAAGATTGAAGGCAGGAGGAGAAGGGGGTGACAGAGGATGAAATGGTTGGGTGCATCTCCAACTTAATAGACATGAGTTTGAGCAAACTCCAGGAGATTGTGAAGGACAAGGAAGCCTGGCATGCTGCAGTCCATGGGGTTGCAAAGAGTCGGACACGACTGAACAACTGAGCAATAACCACCAAGACCATGAACATTTGCCATCTTGGCTCCTTTCTCTTAGCACTGAGGGTCAAGAAGAGCATCATCAGTTCCTGGACTTTGAGCCTTTCACAGATTGTCTAGTTAGACTCCCTCACTGACAGAGGACAGATAAGCCCTAAACAAGTTACGTCTTGTGCCCTAAGTCTTACACCTCATGTCCATCGGAGGACGGGGGGATTTATAGATATAAATCCCTTCTCTGGCCAGCAACCTGTATACAGCACAACACTTCCTAGGAATACATATTTCATTTTGCAAAATGACAGTCATTTAATGTGAAGGGCTACCAAAAATATGTTGAAATGTTAGTGTATTACAAAAGATGGTCACAAAGGCAGCCTGACTCAGACTGCTTTGCCCTTGTGGTTTTGAGGGAAGGGCCAGAAGGAGTACAAAATGCGGCAGGGATGAGAGTAGGAGGAAAGAGAGTCCCAAGGCTCTGTGCCTTAATACCTGCGTGAAACCCAATGAGATTAGAATTGGATGAGTTTATAAACCTTAAAATAAAACCTGAACTTAATGCCACTGAATTGGATATGTACAAATGATTAAGATGGTAAATTTTATGTTACATGTATTCATGGCATTAAAAAGGTTTTCTTTTTAAAATAAATTCCAAGTAAATAAAATCTGAAAATTGTTTTATCTGTTTTCTTATAAATAATCTGTCTTAAAAATAATTAAAGCACTAGGAGTTGTTGTTATTTAGTCGTTAAGTTGTGTTCGACTCTTTTGCGACTTCATGGACTGTAACCTACCAGGCTCCTCTGTCCATGGAATTCTCCCAGCAAGAATACTAGAGTGAGTTGCCATTTCCTCCTCCAGGGCATCTTCCCAGACCCACCCAGGGACTGAACCTACATCTCCTGCATTGGCAGGTGGATTGTTTACCACTAAGCCACCTGGGAAGCCCACTAGAAGAGTAAACATTATTAAAAACCAGAAAGACCAGGTATGTTTTTGTTTGTTTATTTGTTCTCAGGGTATCAAACTGGCTGTTTTAATTCTTAACTGTTTTTCATCACTTACAGAAAGGCTTAACTTTTTTTAAACTTGTTCCTCAAGAAATTAAATATAGAATTACCATATGTCCAGCAATTTTATGTCTACGTATGTGCACAAGAATTGAAAGCAGGGGCTTTCCTGGTGGTCTGGTGGCTAAGATTCTTTGTTCCCAATGCAGGGGGCCCAGGCTCAATCCCTGGTCAGGGAACTAGATCTCACATGCCATAACTAAGACCTGGGACAGCCAAGTAAATAAATATTTTAAAAAATAATAGTAAATTTTAAAAAAAAGAATTAAAAGCAGAAACTCAAAACACATTTTCACACTAATGCTTATAGCAGCATTATTCACAATAGCTAAAAGACAGAAATAACTTGAATGAATTCACATGTCTATTGATGGATGAATGGATAAACAAAATGTTTATATTAAAAATATTGTTTATATTGTATGTAACATTATTTAGGCCTAAAATGGAAGGATCTTTTGAAACATACTACAACATGGATGAACCTTGAAAACATTATGCCAAGTGAAATGAGCCAGACACAAAAGGACAAATACTATATGATTCCACTCATGTGAGACCCTTAGGGTAGTCAAACTTCGATAAATAGAAAGAACCCTGGTGGTTGCCAGGGGCTGGGAGGAGGGGGAATGAAGAGTTTGTGTTTAATGGGTCTAGAATTTCAGTTTGAGGAGATGAAAAAGTTCTGCAGATTGAGGATGGTGATGTTTGAAGAGCAATACGATTGTCCTTGATGCTACTGCACTGTACACTTAAAAACTGTTAAAATGGGGACTCCCCTGGCAGTCCAGTGGTTAGGAGTTGGTGCTTCCACTGCAAGTGGCACAGGTTTGATCCCTGGCCAGGGAACTAAGATCCCTCGTAAACTGTGTAATACAGCAAATAAATAAATACATAAAGTTTCCAGCCACTGATATTAAAACAAACAAACAAAAAAGGGACTTCCCTAGTGGTCCAATGCAGACTCTGTTCTCCCAATGCAGGAGGCCCCAACTCAATCCCTGGTCGGGGAACTAGATCCTGCATGCCGCAATGAAGATGGAAGATTCTGCATGCTATGACCTGCTAAATAAATATTTAACAAAAAACAAAAACAGTTCTCTGCAGCCCTAACCAGAAGCCCCAACTGGAGGTAATTGGACCTGATGGATTTCGAAGGAGCAATCAGTTGAGCTGAGTATGTGTGGGGCTCCTGCCTATGCGGTGGCTTTTGTGAGTCCTATTTTTCTGCCATGGTGCCCCTAAGAAAGTCAATGAGGTATATGCCAGTCTGTGGCTTTCAGTGGCCAATACCTGAACCTACATCTTCTGATGCATTACAGCCTACCAGATGGTTCCAGGAGAAAGGAAGGCTGAAAAGGCTCCCACAACTTTCCCCAACTCTTGTGTATACTGAGCCTGACCATACTTTGCCTTATTCTGGTGAAGATGGACTCTCTTAAGAAAACATCAAACTTCATGTCCTTTACAACATACCTGGCCATCACTGCCCCGTTCATCAGAAAGGAATACTAACTCTATGGGTCATCAGTCACCTGAGATCCAACTGGAGGACTCACTTGGATCCTGGTTCTAGAAAACTCCTCCATCCAAGTTCATCCATCCTCCAGCTCTCCCATCCCGATGCCAAGGGGTAGCAAATGGATCTCGGATACATCACTTCACTGCTCACTGCTGCACTGTCTCCACAGAGCAGCACTGGGTGGTCAAAGTTTATTTATTTATCATTGTTTCTATTGAGCTATACAATTCACATATGGTAAATTTCACCCTTTTCAAGCATACAATTCAGTGGTGTTTAGGGTATTCACAAAACTGTGCAACCACCGCCATCTAATTTCAGAACATTTCATCACCCCAGGAGGAAACCCTCTACCCACTCCCCGTTCCCTCCTTCCCCCAGTCTCTGGCAGTCACTATCTGCTTTCTCTCTGTATGAATTTGTCTGTTGTGGATATTTCATATAAGCACAGTCATACAATTTGTGGCCTTTTGTGTCTTGCCTCTTTCATATCACATACTGTTTTCAAAGTTTGTCCATACTATTGCATGAATCAATGCTTCCTTCCTTTTTTATAGCTGAATAAATAATATTCCAGCATAGAATATTTAGGTTTTTTCTTCTATCTGAAAGTAGAGCATTCC